AAAACCCTAATTAAATGCAAACCTCACTTTATCTCTTAATATATGTATTTTCCAAAAACAAAAAAAAAATAGAGGCAAAGAAAAAAAAAATTATATATGATTAGTCGGTAATTAGTCGACCAGCTATAAGGTGATTTCAAGAATCCCGAGTAAGCGTTTTAAGAAAGTTTTTCCAAATTTGATCCTAGGATAATGTTGTGTACACAATTCATTTAGACAATATGACAATATTGTATATAAATGTTGAAAAAAGTATCATTCAGTTTTATGAATCGTAAGTGGGCGCAAGTAGATTTTCAATTTTTGTTTTCTTTCAGAAAGATTCAAAGAAGAGTAGGACAAAAAGTGAGCAATACTCTGCTGATGCTTCCTTCAAAAGAATTTTGGACAATGTCAAGTGTTATCCATCCATTCGAGTATGTGTTTCACCTCCGTCTCTATCTAGTTATAGTGTATCTGATATCTTCCTCACTCATTTACAATTCAATAATTATTATAGGTTATTTTCTCTAACATGTAAGATTGATGTATCAAAAAATTTCTTTGCCTAGTTTGCAGAACTGCACTAATTGCTAAAAGGCGAAATATGTATAGTGGCACTTCATGTTGTTTGTTTCTATGTATTAAAATTGATTAATTACATACACTTGTAATTTCAACAGGACATGGAAGTTTTAGCAGTCATGCTATAGAAAAAGATGTCTTCCTTAGACACTAAAAAACACATCTCAACATTTGTCAATAAATGTAATTTCTATTTGTTTCTCAACCTTCGTCAATAAGTGTAATTTCTGTTTGTTTCTCAACATTCGTCAATAAGTGTAACTTTTCAGCAGCGTATTTATGAGCAAACCCATAAATGCTTTTTCTTAGTTTGGAAGTTTTTATTTGTTTCGCAACATTCTTTAATAGGTGTAATTTAGATAAATATACAAAAAAACAAAAGAAAATTTGGTCATTTCATTCATCACTAAGTGTATTTTTCAATGGGATAACAATGAGATTTCTACTTAAATTTTGATATCTTAGCTCGAACAAAATCTATCTGTAAATACATCGGTGTTTTGCATCAACGTGCGCTAGCTGATGACGCTCAACATATAAGTTTGACTTCTTCTTTGCATAGTTGACTGGTGAATTTTGGTCCAACTTTACTAATCCGACTCGAGTTAAGAGCAATTTTGACCCAAATTGACTTGATTTTAACCTGAGTTAAACAGAATTTAACATTCTTATAAAAAAATACAGGTTCTCTCTCTTTATCTCTCTTTATGCTTACATTTTATTCACAAGGCAAGACATGGCACGGGTAAATGAGAAAAAGATTTCATTTGTTATTGATGGTATAAAGACAATGCTCCAAAAGTGTGAAAATGGTCATTCAATTGAAGGAAGAGTTGATCGGGGCGGCAAGATTAGCAATGCCTTCATTTTGGTTAAGCAACTGTTATATTTGGCTGACCATCTTGCATGTTTGGGTATGGATAACCAACAAGATCAGCATGTTGATGGAAATAATGGTCCAAATGGAAACAGACAAGACCCACTCCACCCAACCTTAGTTGCACGTCCCATTGACACCTTTCATGCTCCAAACTTTCAAGAAAATAGAGCAAGTATTCAAGCACCTCCGATTGAAGCAAATAACTTTGACATCAAAGGAAGCTTGATCAAATGGTGAGTGGCAACAAGTTCCATAGATTAGCAATGGAGGATTCGTTGGATCATCTTGATAACCTTGACAAGCCTTGTGGAACGGTTAAGACTAACGGGATCTCCGAGGATAAATTCATGCTCCGCCTCTTCTCATTTTCTTTGGGAGACCGGGCTAACATATGGGAAAAAAATCTTGCTCCGGGTTCCATTACTACTTGGCTCAAAATATGCTTAGAGGTTCCATTCTTCCTTTGACGAACAAAGCATAGTCCTACTTCCAAGCCAAGATATCACCTCGCTCAAATCACTTGACAATAATGCTAGAACTCATCTGCCTCTCAATCCAATTTGCGGATCAAAAAAGCAAATGCAAGATGATGCTGGTCTTTCAAGAGATGTTTTACCCGCTCCTAGAATCATCGGTAGTAAACGCTACGAGTTTCGGCCATATGTTGTTCCCATTAAAAGCAATGCTCTCCGCTATAATCAAAATCTACGACAGTTTTCTAGCAGTCGTTTAACCCGTCGTAAGATTTGGCGATTACATAGCGACTAAAATTTGCTACTAATCTTGTAGTCGTACATCAGTCGTAAAGTGTTGGCGAATGTCTAGGGATGGAGTAGCGATTGAAGTTTGCTACTAAAAGTGTCGTAGGTATGTAGTCGTATCTTTACTACTGATTTTTGACGCATATCTCTAATCGGTTTACGACAAAGTTGCTATTGTATACCTACTACTTTGTTATTGTTTTCTTAATTATGTTTTGCAATCTATTATTGTTCTTGATTTCAGTTTAAAGAAAATTAATTAAAAAAAGAAATTAAAGAATTCTTAAATCCCAAGAACACGATCTCTTCCAAAATTCTTTTTTATTCTTCCGTAAAGAATGATCATGCGGGAGAAATCTTCGTTGACAATCGAACCAACACGTTTTTCTTCCGTTGTTCAGATAAAAACTACTGTGTCTCTGCCATGCAAATTGGACAAGACAATCTCACATGGGTGGTCCATCCACATAACATTCCATACGCTGGAAAGTATTGTGTCTGTATTTTAATCATTGTAGCATAAGTTTTATGCATTGTTTTCATCATTCTAGGTCTGATTACTTGATTATTTATCCATATTTGCCTTTTTTTGCTTCACTTGTAGAATCTAGGCCTTGCATTGCATGCATTGTAGTTTTGTGCATGAACATGTGTTTACCCAAGGGAAAAGAAGCAGATCATGACAAATCGACCAAGTGTAAATGTTGAATCCGATCGAGCAGGAGGATCCGAGCCATGGAATCGATCGAATGTTTGAGTGAACCAGAGAAGAAGCTCAACTAACCATCCGATTAAGCCACCCGACCAGACCGATCGAGTGTACGACCAGCAGACTGATCGAGCACCATTAAACCCACTTTCTATTTTTTCTACTAGTGTTTTAGGGCTACCAAAACTTGCTATAAAAAGACTCTTTGGCTAGTAACTTATTATCTCGGAGTTGTATTATGATTTTTCTTCATTTTTGCTCTAGAATTTCCAGAATCTTGTAAACATCATATCTTTTGATTTATTGAGTATTTGGTATTGGTTCTTTGTTTTATTTTTCTTGTCTCACTTAGATCTATCTATTTATGCATGATTTAGTGATTTCTGGGTTTGAGTTCTTAAACATGTCAGATCAGAGAAGATTCTTAAGGTTTTGGGGATGAGTTAGATGTGTATGTGGAGAACTTTAGATAGCAAGGTTGCCCATAGGTATAAATGTTTAGCTTTCCTTTTGGATTAGTGTATATAACACTAATCTCATTCTGATGAAGTGGTGATTAGCTTTCAGGCTTCCAATCCCGAGAGGTGTTCGATGGAATGCCAGATAATCTAATACCAGAGAATTTCATGTCTAGCCCAAGAGATTGGTTGTCTAGAGTGATATTTAACATTAATGAGCTGAGTCTTAATGCCTATTCATTTCCTGTTTAATCAACCAGAAGTTGAGATTAGGAAGTGATTTGAATTTGATAGCCTTTGTCAAGAGATTGAACTGGTTAGCTTATGAGCTTTTTGTCTAGGAAACATCATTGTTTGTGTTTGCTTGATATGGTAATCTAGTGAACCTAAGGATCTTCATTGACATCACCATCTCATCCCCAGAACCTCCCTTTAATTGATTGATTTATCTTGCTTTATTTTTGTTCTTACTTTTCTAGTTTGATGCATGTTATTGCTTATGTAGTTTCATTTTGGCTTTAGTTTAATCTTGTCTTTTGCTTAAATTCTTGTTTTTTTTTTTGAAACAATAGTTGATAGTTCAAAATCCTTTTGGCTTGGCTTCACTTGTTAAACATTGATTGCAATTATACTAGGTGATTGATACCAAGAGCCGTAGAAACCATTTATCAGAAATTACGCATTGATTGAGTACAACTTTTAAAAGTCATTAATGAAAGGTGGGAGGAAGATATCGAGACTAGCTCGTGGACTATTTGGCCCTGAATTTATAATGGTTAGAAACAAGTGCTCTGTATTCATGCACATACCAGGGGGCAAATTGTACGAAGTCAATATCACTAACCCCAAATGATTTTTGACATGCCAAATGGATTAAACCCATCTGTACACAATCCAAGATAAACGTTACGGGGTTCTTTGGCAAATCGGGGATGTTTGGCTTGAAAATATTTCCACATTACCGCATCTGACGGATGACACATTTTTCCCTCATTAGCGTCGTGCTCAACATGCCTCTCATTGACGATGTAGTCTTCTCGCTCTGATACATTCTCTTCAATCTATCAGCAATAGGCATATACTACATTCGACTATATGGTACATTGGAACTTCGGTTTTACTCGTTAGGCATCCATTTTTCTGAATTACAAAGCCGACACTTATCAAACTGTTCATATTCTTTCCTGAATATCATACAATTGTTAATGCAAACATCCATTACATGACATGGAAGCCCCAAATTGCGCATCAATCAAAGGCGTGCAACACGCATAGGTGAAGGAGATGCTCCTAATAACCATGTCCAGAGGTCAGGGATAGTACCACCTCCTGTTCAAAATAATAATTTTGAAATAAAAAATTGCCTCATATCCCTGGTGTAGAGCAATAAGTTCCACGATTTACCGATGGAAGACCCGTTGGACCACTTGTACGAGTTCGACCGCCTTTGTTGATTAACCAATATCTACAAAGTAAGTGAAAACGGATTCAAACTTCGTCTCTTTCCTTTCTCACTCGGGGACAAGGCACACCAATGTGAAAACAGTTTGCCTAATGGTTCTATTACCACTTGGGAGGAGTGTAAGCGTGATTTCTTGTCCAAGTTCTTTTCCAATTCCCGCACCGCCCGTCTTAGGAATGAAATCTCAAGTTTCGCACAGAAGAACAACGAGACGTTGTGTAAAGCATGGGAGCGGTTTAAGGGATATCAATCTCACTGCCCACACAATGGGTTCACTAAGGAGTCTCTTCCTTGCACACTATACAGGGGAGTGCTTCCTAAAATCCGCATGTTGCTCGACACTGCCAGTCATGGAAACTTCTTAAACATAGATGTGGATGAAGGATGGAAGCTGGTTGAGAACCTTCTCCAATCTGATGGGAATTACAATGAGGAGTATGATAGAACCAATAGGGGAAGCTCATACCATGAAGAGAAGTATAATAAGTACTTCAAGTCTTTGAGTAATAAGATTGATAGGATATTCATGGCACAGCAGAAGACTGTCCCCTTCGTCTCCGACGAGGAGCAATTCCAGCAAGAAGGGGAAGGTGATGGTACCGAAGAAGTTAGTTACTTTAATCAAGGCGGATTTTAAAAGGGTTTCACAAACTACAAGGTGAATCCCAACCTCTCCCCAAGCAATAATTCCAGCAAGTTTACTCCGCACCTCCACCCGGTTTTCAACCGCAGCAAATGGCATCACCACAGGATATTGACTTGAAGATAATGATTCAGCAATTGGTACAAATCAAACCTACATTCGCCCTGGAGACATCGAAGAAGCTAGCTGCAATTCAGCTTTATGTTTGAATGGACGTGTGAGTTAGCTTCCGACGAACCTTTTCGTCCCATTAGAGGTGCTAGTCGAGAACCTTTATCCCGAAGACCATTGCTTTATCCAGAGGAGCACAAGGCTGAAATCAAAGAAGAATATAGCAGGATCCTTGACTCTCTAACTGGGAATGACCAGCTGAAGGCCTTGGTTGATGTTTTTGCTAATATCCCCTCCCATAAGTATATTCTTAAGGAGTTGTTACGCGAGAGGATGCAGCAGAAGAAGGGATGGGACTCACTCACTCAAAATCCAAGCTTTTCTAGAAAGATAGGAGATCCCGAAGCCTTCACACTACCTTGTTCGATCAGATCGACAATCTTCAACGTATGCCTTTGCGATTCATGAGCCTTAGTCAGCCTTATGCCCCTTTCGATAGCACAACAAATGGAATATATTAAGTTTACGCCTTGTAGCCTAATGGTTGTAATGGAAGATAGGAGTTTAAGGCATTCATAGGAGTGCTAGAAGATCTTCTAGTAGAAGTTGGTGGAGTCCAAATCCCTAGTGAATTTTTGGTCTTGGAAATGGAAAGAGAGCTGCAATATCAGTTAATCCTTGGAAGACCAATCCTAACTTCAGCGGGTATGGTTATTGTCGTTGCCTAGGAAACCATGAGCGTCGATCTTGGAGGAATGCTATGCGGAATTGGTCTCAAGTTCATTGGTCATTGATGTTGGAGAAGATCATCGGGTCTCTCCACGGTTCTATTCCAACTTGAGGAGCATGCAAAGTCAAGCTTAGTGACTTTAAACAAGCTCACCTAGGAGGAAGTCCTAGTGGTATCCTTGTAAATAGTTTTTTACTTTTAATGTTAATTTCTTTTGCTTGTCTATTTAAGTTTCAGGAATTAGTTCAAGTATTAATTCTGATTCAAGAAGGTGGAATTCGATCCAATAAATGATGTAGTCTATCGAGTGGGTATTTGAGAGTCATTAGGCCCCTAAAAGAACAAATCCGACCCACCAAAAGCCTTGGACTCGATCGACTAAGCCCTATCCGATCAGATCCATTTAAGGCCCAAAATTGAGAAAGTTATGAACAGTTCAATTCAATCCCATTTGACGCCCATCCGATCACACACTCGATCCAGCTTATGACCTGACCCAACCGTTTCCATGCCTGTTTCCTAACCCAAGTTTGCCCTATCTTCTTCCCTTATCACCACAAACTCGATTCTCCTCCTCCAAAAGAACAAATCCGACGTTTCACTCACCTTACCTCCATTGTTGACAATTTTTAAGCTTCACCACCATAATTTACAGAGTTTGCTTCTTTCTCCTTTATTTCTTCTCTAGTTTCTGGGTTAAGAGTTTAAATTCCATTTTCTTCCTCTTCTTAAAGCGAAAATCGAGTTCAAACTCTCTAGAATTTTAGCTTTGAGTACCATATTTTCAAGGGAAAGAATGAAACAGATTCAAGAGAATAAGAAGGGGTAAAAAGAGCTCTCACAACCGATCCTCTAGGGCTGAAATCGAGTTTGAGTCTTCTTCCCAAGCTCAACAACAAAGTTTCATATCAATGGAGATTGATGGAGAAGAACTTGCAGCAACTCGTTCAACCACACGACCGAGCAACCGACCGGCCAAACAAACTGCTCGATCGAGTGCTCAGTCGAGCCCATCATCACGGTCTACAAAGAAGAAAATCGAGTTTGAACACCTTGATGGAAATGATTCTGATGATGAACGGGGTAATGCGAGAGCGAATGTTGAGTTCACAAGGGCAAGAGAGCACATTTCATTGGGAAAGAGACCTGCTAGAGAGCCTATGGTTGAGGAAACTGAGGAAGATGTAGAAGAAGAGAAACCAATGCAGGGGAAGAGAGAGTTAACTCTTGAGGAACTTTACAGAATCTGTAAGGAGTTGAAGCTTTTAGGAAATCGTTTCCTGCATACGGAGAAAATGGTTAAGTTGGGAATTGCTAGAGATGTCGAGTATCTGTTTGAGATGATCAGTTTGGATGACTTCATGAAGAGATGAATACGGAAACGTCTGAGGAGGAAACTTGCCAGTACTTGAGTTCTCTACAGGTTTACTTCTATGATGATTTTGATGAAAGGTTTGTGGAGGATGGTTTAGGCTACATCACATTCACAATTAGAGGTTGTGAGAACATGCTTCCATTCAAGGAAATCAACACACTTTATGGGTTCAAGACCGGTTCAAGGATTAACCAGAGAATTGATAAGGAGGAGTTGAGAGCTCTGTGGGCAACAATTGGAAACAATAAAGTCTATGCTTCCACAAAGACCAAGAATGCTCAAATCTGAGGTCCATTTATCAGGTACGTACTTGCATAAATCTCTAGCTAACACATTGTTTGCTAGAAGAGAAACTGGAAACTTGATAGAGAGAGGGAACTTCAGATGATAGATATTTCCTTGTGTGGAGTGTTGAGTAGCACTAGGAATGGAACGGTTCTAGCTGGTGATAGGGATGATTGCGATTTCACATTTGTGTTGCTAGATCAGTTGATGCACAAAGGACTGTGTAATTTAAGTTTGGGGGAGGGTCTATGATAGCATCTAACAATGTTTTTTGTGTTGTTATTCTCAATTAAGAGATCACTAAAGTACTTAGGGATCGAATCCACAAAGACTCAACGATTACACAATAAATAATTGGTATTAAATTAAGCTAAGCAAGCAGGTTTTAAATTAAATAAAACAGCAAATTAAAATAAAGATTGGTTTTTAAACAGTAATGAGGAAACGCTAGGCGTAGAGATATTCTCAAGAAATTCAGAATTGCAAATAAAGATTTGTCAGGATTATAATCAATCAACTTTCATTGCAAAGACTATCTATGTCTAGAACCCTAAATTCTAAATCTCTTTGCAAATTTATAAGTTTAAGACATGCCTTTAATTCAGGTTTGATAAGTTCACAAAATCCCTAAAACAAATCTCTTTGCGAATAGGTATTTTGCTCATCTAGATTATTTTCAGGAAAACAATAACACTTTTGTGTCTACCAATTAATATAAGATCAGATTCTAGTTTGTTTTCACAACTCTAGAACAAATTAACCACAATCTAGATGAAGAACTCTATTGATTCAATCCTAACAATCTAATAACCTAAGGATTCATGAATTCCTTTGAAAACCCTAAACCTAACATGAAATCTACACAGACATGGTGAATAAAACAAACATCATGAATATAATAGATATCATAAAAGAAAGTAATAGAAGAAGTAACGGAGTTATGAATCTTCTCTAAAAGAGGTTTTGATTCTTCTCTCCCAGATTTCTACAAATCTCTCTCTCCAAAATAAATCTTAAGACAAAATCCTAAAAACTCAATATATATGCCTTAACCACGAACTGGGTTTAATTGCAAATAAGGGAAGTTTTTGGGCTGAATCTGCAAATCTTCTGAACTTCAATTAAGAGTGAAATTCAATTGCCGTCAGATATTGGTGTCGATCGACACCGAAAGTTGTGACGCTCGACAAACACACCAAATATACTCTCCCGGTACGTTCCTTCGGCACATCTTCTCCAAAGGCTCCCAAATGCTTCAAAAAGCTCCTATCCATGCCAAATAGCTCCTAATCCTGAAATTACTCAAAAAGACTCGAAATCACTATAAAAGCTCTATAAATAAAACTTATATCATGGCCAAAAACCCGTAAAAACCATGATATATCAACTCCCCCAGACTTATCCTTTGCTTGCCCTCAAGCAAAACAAAAACTTAACCTGTGAAAGAAGTTTGAAATCGCGGGAACTCACTCAACTGCAGGAAACTCTTCTTTGCACTCTTCATCGCCTTGACTCTAGAACTTACTTTATGTATTTTTCCTATGAGAAGCATCTACATTCCTTACTCTAATCCCACAATCCTCGGGAATCTCCAGTCTCTCCATTGTCATCTCTTTACATAATTTAAAACAAGTAAAGATAAATTCTTACCGCGGGAATATCGATCAATGGTATATGGACTCTTCTCAAACCAAGACATTCTTCGTATGATTTCACTTCTTCTCCCTTTTCTCACTTCTAAGGTAATCGACATCTCCCTACTTTTCTAGGGTATCATTTTATTTTTTCAAGGATTCCTTTTTTTTTTTTATGAACTCTCTCTTTTCTCTTTTCTTTTTCATTCGGGTATTCATGAGATCCGAAGTATACACGGGTTTACGCGACATTCCTCACATCACTTCTACCTATAGCCTTTTCCACAGTTTCTTTTAAAGGCTGAAGGGAAGAGAGAAAGAAGGAATCATAATTTGAAGAAGTGCAGTGTCTTGTGTGGTTCGAAGAAGAAATCTAGTCCAATGTAAGTCCAATTATGTCCTGATAAAATTAGAGATAACGTTAGATCAACTGGATAACCAATGAATAAAGGCTTTCAGGATTGTTGATACAGCTCATAGTCATTCCACACTTCG